TTTTTTTTTTTTTTTTTTTGTACAGGACAGAGATGGAAGTGGTTGAATGGTGGGATCGGCAAATGGCTTGCAGTCCTCGCGCGTATTCCGTGCTACCATGAACCTCTCTCTCCACGCAGGGATGTTCCATCTGGAGAGGGGGGAGGACGACCCCCCTCCCTTTCCCCTCAAAAGTAAGTGTACTTATGGAGCAAGGAGTGTAAGCGTAAGTCAATTATACTCCAGAGCAGAGAGCGAGAGGGTTGAGGGTGCCCCGTCCCTAACTTCGGCACCTTGTCTCCATCGGTTCACTCTCGGAGCGGAGAAGGGAAGCTACTCGATGCTCCATACATGTGATAGTGTATGCGAATCATAGCATCGATCATTGTTGCCAATGTCAAGCCGCATTGCTCAGCCGACGGAAAGGGTAAAAGGCACATGAGAAGCATGCGGAAAACAAAAGAGTTGAGCTGAATTAAGAGACAAACGGCCAGAGAGACACATGTCATTTTCGTGCCCGACCATGAGGTCTGATGTCTTCCTGACCGTTGACCTATTCGAAGCCACGTTAAGCCACGGACTGCAAACAGCAAGCAGATCTCCATCCAGGCTTCGGAACACCAGTGCTGGTATCCGATGGTCTACATCACAATCATTCATGAATTCCGCGTTTCTCGCCCACTAGTAAGGCGGAATCCTGCAGCCCGTCCATTGTCCAGTCAGATGTCTTGATATACGCTGTATAAAAAAGGAACAACTTCGAGAACTGCAGCCAGCCTTTCAGGTCAAAGCACAAAAACAACCACGGCCACTCAGGCTCGACAAATGATACACGAGCAGTTAAGAATGAAGAAAATAAGCATGAAGAAGAAGAATAAAAAAAGAATATCTCGAAACATAAACTTGAGTTCCCATATCTTTGGATAAGGCAGAGTCGCTGCACACCTTCGTCCCCAACGGCCGACCCAGGCGACCGCTTTCAACCTGTCCGGGTCTACACGTGTGACGGAATGTTATCAGTGGTCCGGAGAGCCTTGCGCTCGTCCTGTCCCTTAGTCCCGGCTGCTTTTCTCTGGGTGAGCCCCATAGCTTGCGACCTATTATTGCGTAAGTATCCCCATGTGCGCGCTGGAGAAGAGAGAGGCAAGACGGTAGGCTGGCTAAGCATCAGGTTCACGCCTTGCGTGGCTCCAGCGGCTATCACGCCTGCATGAACAGTACCATGTTTGAGGCTGGTTGTAGCATGTTTGTTTCAAGTATAGTTATATATACTTAAAACTGGATATGGGGGGGGGACGATTGTATACTTAGCTGTCTCCTCAGCTCGGCCCCCTCGCCGAACTGGAAGGCCAGGTGGATGTGTGGGTTCTCCCTTTCTCGCTCGCCCCGAATCTTGCAGGCATCTTACTCCGGAGGTTACTCTCCATCTATCGCGCTCTGGTTAACCAGAGTAAGGTATCACAGACGACGCCCTGTTGATGACGATGATGCACCCTGAGGTCCGCTCTATACATGTTACATTCGGACGTTCTACGGAGTAACTAGCTAGTTATCTGAGGGAAGATCTGATCAGCCGGGCTGACGAAGTGCGTATGTCTGTGCAAGGAGGAAGAAAGGGAAGAGGCATTGTTTGCCTTGCAGAAGATCAGCAAACGGCCTCATACAAATCAATTGATGCGAAAAGGCTGCAAAATCCGTCTGACGTCCTACTCTCCTAAACGGGAGAATGCTGGCCCCTGTCCAACTACACGGGAAGAAAACATGTAGGCTAGGCCTTTTCTCCCGCTCCCCTTCTGTGCTCCAACCTTCTTGCGTCCTTCTTAACGGTATATACTTAAGACAGACGGGTAAGGCACAAAAATGTATCCGCCCGGCAGGTCTTGATATCGATGCCCATGGGCGGCCGCAGCGGTCTCCTGCCGCCAGGGTCCTCCGGGGGAGAAAACGTGTATGCCATGCTCTCAGTATGTGAACCCGATCGCCAAGGGCACGTTGCTTCTTGTCGGATATACACAGGTAGACATATAGGAAATCCTCCGTATATATCTGTTCCCTCCTTTGGGGGGGAAGGCCATGACAAAGGATGTAGGCTTGCGCTTATGCAAGATGTAGTCCGTCGACGGGCCATCACGAACTTCACGAGTAACCCCAAAAGGTATGCCAGCTTCTCCCTCTCTTTTACCCTTTCTTCCCATGTAAGGTTCCTGGTATTCCATCAATGAGATTCCATCAATTGGCTTCGTATCTTCCTGCTGCATGAAGATCCAGTAAGAAACCCAGGGACTCCCCGCGTCGACGGCTCTTGGCCTCCATATCAAATCAATCCTGTGCTGTGTTATATACCACCATGACACATATCAATGGAGCACGTCAGCATGCGTTGTACTCCGAACATACAGGGCCCAGGTATGCAAGGACAAGCTGGCAGTTGGCATGATAACTATATCCATCGAGCCGCCCAGTTGGGCAGAGATGGACACTTCGACGCCTGTTAGCGAGATATCGGCTATATTATTGTAGAATGATCCAGAAGAAGGGAAAAATTTTCGAATCAGGACTGCATGAGAAGTTGTCCACTAGGCCACCGAATGCAGGTGAATTCCCTATCCCCTTTAGGCTATACACTCGGGACTTTTGCCAGGAGGAGTAGGTATTGGTATTTGAACCGCTCCTAATCCCTGCGCATATCCACCCATCCTCCGAACAGGGCTCTTCAGCCTATGGATACCCGGTCGAGCAAGGAACATATGCATGAATTAGGACCCTGCCCATGGTACAATCACGCACATATAGAACGATCACGCCCAAGAATCCAAGACACAGGGATATATTCACACCTCTCTCTCGTGAAATCAGCAAAGCAAGATCCTTACGATTGTTCCAGATGGTGCAGACACGACCCTGAGCCGAAGCTACAAAAAAGGTGTTTTCCAATGCCATGATGACATTTGTGCATATTTTGTCGCACACCAGCTTTGCAGAAATGGTGCTTATTATTAGCACAAATTTACAATCTTAGCCTGACATGCGTCCGAGATGTCTTTTCCCTCCAGGCGGGCAGGATCTAGACAAGGGCTGATCTCAGCAGCACATGAGGACCTTGTCATTAGCAGACGGGTGCTATTTCCACCAACATGTCAACCCCCCCGCCAACTCCTCGCCGGCTATGGCCTATCACCATGGAGGGAAATCCAGAAAGGAAGGAGAGGAAAAGACCGGACTGGCTGATCTCTCTGAAATACGAGCCTTAAACTGCCTATACTTTGGGTGTCCTCGTCCCCCCCGCGAACGAGCTAGGTATGCAAGGAACAAGTATATGGAAGGGCCATCCTCGGCCTTGAGCGCTCTTTTGGATGGAGGGTACAGGGTTCGAGCTCCGTATGCCCGGTGCAGCCTTCCTTGCGGTCCGAGTCGTAGCGCGGGTCGTCTTCTTTTCTCTCTTCCTTCCCTTTTCTTCTTGATGCAACAGACAGACGTCCACGACATCCACTCCCTGGTACGCCCTTGTCAGGGAAATGCACGCGTATGGGGAACCTCGGAATAAGAACCCTAATCGTATTTCCTCATGGTAAGTAAAAACAAAACAATGATTAATATATTATTCATGGGAAAAGAAGCATAAAAAATGTAAAGTTATCGGCAAAATAGGCTTATGCTTCTATTTTTAAGCATTTTCAGCCTTGATATATTTGCTTTCTGTACACTTCAACTCCCATTCTGCTGATTTCTTGGATGGCTTCCTCGGATTGAGCTGTCAATTATGGCAATTTATTATGGCGTCTGCTGGTGCGTGCCTTGAAGCTAGGGTGTCATGCAGGACATGGGAGAGATAGCTGCATATGCTGCGTATTCCTGTTTTATTTCTCATCTCTTCCAGAAAGACGGTGCGGTTGGGAATGTTTATCTCGCTCAGCTTGCCATGCATCTATTTGCTGTAAGCAGCATTATTCCATCGAAATATAGACATGGGGTGGCTCTCTCCCTGTAACTCCTATCGAAGGAAGAATGTCTTGTTGATCTGGTGAAGGGTTCGAAGGAGGGGGGCCGATTCAATTCTTCAGCCTTTATCCAACTTCATCCTCTTCATCCTTCAAGAAGGGAATTGGCATCTTTCGGCGGGTAGATTCGACTTCGACTCCCTTGTCCCTCTGTCTTGGCTGAATAGAAAAGGCACCGACTGTTCCCTGATGTGTAACAACCAATTGCTTTTCTACCCTGGGCTCATGTCTGTCGTTCCATCCACTCAGGTCTAAGTATGTAAGTATATGCAGAATGCCCCTCCATCCACTCTGGCCTGATTGCCCATCCAATATGCAATTTAAATCATCTGATAAGGACGAGGATTGAAAGTTGGAAGCCCATCGCTATACGGTCTGACGTACCTTTTTCCTTTTGTCTTCGTCTCTCACCCTTGGATTTGATTTTTCATTCAAAAGGAAACAGAAAAAAAAAGAGAATGGCATCATATAAGCCACCAACTTGGCTTGACCTGGAGTAACTGTGAGCATGACCGATATTGAACCATGACTCGGTCGAGACGCCAATTAATAATGCGTCCGATCTTCCCAAGGTCGAAGTTGATGTCGAAGTCGAGGGATGCTAGTCGGCAGTTTTGACCGCTTTTCTTTTTTGTGTCTTTCTTTTACCCCCTTCAGGCACCGCGGGGGGAAGCGGAAGCACATTCCAGCTGGCCCTGGTGGCTGAAGATTAGCTAGCTTGCTAACCGAGCTGTCAAGCCTCAGAAAATGGTTGAGAGATTGACGTTGTCGAAGCTCTCGTTATTTTCTTTTGGCCCTTCCAGTTTGTTCCGTGTCTATATTTAAGTATACACTGCTTTTCGTTTGCAAGAAGGCAGGGGAAAGCGGTCCCGAAGCAAAGGGCGAAAAGGATAATAAAAAAAATATTTTAAATCAGCCGTACCTGCAGCCGAGAGCGAGTGTTAGAGTTGATCAGATCGTATCTGAGTATACTGGCACATGAAGCACGGAGTGTTTCTTTTGCAGACCCTTTCTTTATTATTGATGAAGCCTGATATTAACGGTAAACTCCATTCCGAGGTTTCGTGGCAGCTTGCTGACGGCTTCCTGCAGTCCCGAGACAACATATGCTCAAGCAAATTGGATTAATCCATTAACAAGACGTCGAGGAAACTCCCGGGCTTGCTTTATATTCCTGGCGATATCAATGCCTTATTCCAGCAACCGAGGACTCAGCCCACCAGGAGACGTGTCACCTACGGACATTGGCTTGGGCTCTCTTCCTCGCTTTCTCTGCTGACAAGCGAGAGGACGAACAATCGAGATAGGCTGATGGGGGCGGACCAATTGCTTCAAGTCGGTTGTCATCTGGTGGGCTGGCCTTTTTTTTTTAATGCCTGTTTTTATGGGCCATGGAGCAGCTATGGGCCATATATCTCCCCATTCGACAGCGTTCGAGCAGATATCAGCGTCCATCCGAGGGCAGCAGCATGTCTAGGTAGGTAATAGCCACCGTAGCATAGCAACCTCGCAGCAGGTGTCCCTTGTTCTTCCTTTCATCCGTCGTCCGGTGTCCGCTAGGTATGGGACAGCAGCGCGCCCTCCAGGAGCTGGCCCTGTCTCTGGCTATCCGCGTACACCCCGAGCATGCTGTATATCTGTAGAGGCTCTTCCCGCGTCATTCAACGTATATAGGCCCTGTATCGATGCCTGTATCTGCTCTGATATCGCGGTATCTCGCTGGCATCCTGGCCGTCCCGCGTCTCGGTCGACTCCACCGCGCTTGAGGATTCCCCATATGCGCCAGCTTCACCTTAATTTCGCGGTTAGCAGATCCTCCGTGCGAGATTCAGCGTCATCAACACTCGTTGAGCTGCCCCATCGCCTGCTGCTCGCTGTGGTTTGCCGTCGCTTCTTCTCGTCTGCGTCCTCAGCCTGGCCGGCGAAGCCTTGAAAGGAGTGGCAAGGCTGGATGGCTGACTGGCTGCGAGCGAGCTAGCTAAATAGTCAACTACAAAGAGACCCCCGCGCGCGTCTCTTCCCCTGCGATGACTGCAGCTTGTCCCATCCATATCCATGACCCTTGTCGCACCGCGCATGCCATACTATAGTACCTCGAATCGCACGCTACATACTACTCTTCGATCTGTGATAGTCAATAGCCGGGCTACGACGAGCCACTGGGGCGCACGATGAATCCGCCGCGGAAGCGTCCGTGGTCTGTGGCCGAGCTCTCCTCCAACCCGTCGAACCCACCGCCACCACTTGAAGCACTGCATTCTGCGCCAAATGGCTCCAGCGCCAGCGATACAGCCATGTATAGATCTCCAGACAGCTTGTCGAAGACCCCCAATACCCCTCCGGTTTCGTTTGGCATAGCTCCTCCAGAGTCGCCCCAGATCAGCGTTGCGGTGACGAGCCGCAAGTCGACAGCATGTCCGGCGTGTAGGAAACAAAAGGTATAGAAAGGTTTCTTCTACTGCTGAGTATCTCCATAGAACACTGCTGATATATGTTGACAGATCAAATGTGTTATGGACGATGACACTCCACCATGTAAACGCTGTGCGGAGCGAGGTCTGGAATGTTCACCAAACAAGTCTATTCAGGATATTGTGGTGGAACAGGCTAGGTATGATATATATATATCTACACCGGCATCTATATATACAGAGCTGCAGTCTCTAATGTATGCACTTCTACAGGTGGAATTCTCGGATGAACCGTTATTTCTCGCACCTTCAAACGGCCCTAAATGAAGCTAGGGCAGCACTATCACTACCTCCTGTATCTGCAGTTGATGAGTTGAGCATGAAAGAGGAAGATAGCAAAGCCTCCCAGCGTGAACAGGCTGATGAACAACCCAATACGTTGGAGGTTGCCATGGAGCAAGATACACTCGCCTCCGCCCCAATGCGGTCTCTCTATGAAGTCACCAAGTCCAGCGAGGTGCACGAAAAGACCACCCAGTTTTCAGGCTTGGTCATGGAGCCAGACTTTGTCTCTCGGGGAGTAATTACCGAAGCAGAAGCAGGCCAGCTTACCAAAACATACCTGACCCGACTGGACCACTTCTTTTACGACCACCTACAAAAATACGCAGACATCAGTGAGGTACGCAAGACATCTACACTACTTGCATTAACCCTATGCACCGTAGCAGCTCTGCATGACCCTCTGGGTACAGATGCCTATGATAAGCTGAGCAGAGAGCTCCGCAGCGTAACATCGTCACTCATGTTTCGTACTCATTTGGGAGTAGAAGATATCAAGGCCCTATGTATGGGCTCGTACTGGCTGGGGAATCTGACTTGGGTTCTGTCTGGTCTCGTCCTTAGAAAAGCAATTGGGATGCAGTACCATACGGCGCATATGAATCAGCCACAGACCGATAAAGAAGGGTTTGGCAAATCACAGATGTGGCTATTGATATTTTTAGCCAATGAGCAAATATCGATACTCCACGGCTCTCCAGCCTGTGGTGTGGAGCCTGGATATATCAACTGGAAGAATCACCTGGCCTCCCCTTTTTCAGGGGAGATTGACCTGAGGTTAATCAGCCATATTGACCTCCTTTTACTTTTGGGAAAAGTACGGCAGACGTATGGGGTGGATGCAATGAAACCTATCCCCCTATCACTCATCCCACAACTTCGAGATTACCTTGCACAATTAGACAGATGGTCCCAGGCATGGACGGGAAGGCTAGCAAGGAACAAATGGCTTGGAAACTTTCCATCTCAGGCTGTTAAACTGCATTTCCGATTTGCAAAGTTCTTTATATGCTCCCATGCATTCCGAGGGTTAAACGTGGAAGCTGCCCACGTACCACTCGCTCCAGAGCTACAGGACATTGCAGGCAGTGCAGTTGCAACGGCAATCTCCATTCTCGAACTGCTTATTGAATCTGACGAGCTACGTGCGTACCTTGTTGGAATCCCGCATTATTTCCACACCATGTTTGCGTTTGCGGCTGTCTTTCTTCTCAAGGTTGCCACACGTAATAGACAGCATGTGCATGTTGATACACAACTGGTGTTTCGGATTAGTCGACGCGTTCTGGAAGTGTTTCAACACTGTCCTTGCGCCAAACAGCACCTTGTGCATCGCATTGCTCAGGGGCTTCAGGAGATGATTGAGCGTTGTGAAGGTCAAATCGCAACTGAAAGCTCCGGCCACCCTGTAAACCGAGTTCTAAACCGGGAGCCACCTATCCCGGCCTCCATGCCTCCTCCACCCACAACCTCAAACCCCGAGATCGGATCCCAGGATATGCTTTCGTGGTTTAACCTGGAGAACTTTGACTTCCTTTCTATGTCACCTCCTACCTGGAACACCGAGTTTTAGTATCAAAGCAGCCGGCACGCTCAGGCATCACATTTTGAACGAGCCCCTGATGTTTAGAATCTGTCTCGACGCATGGTTAGTTGCGTGCTGTATATTACTATGTATATTTGCGTTTTTCCGTTTGTATCCTGATATTTATCCCTTTGCTAGATATCCTCCTCCGTTTGTTGGGCATATATATATGGTGAAATAAATTTGACGAATGTGACCGGATGTCACAACTTAAGTGCAAGAATTGATTATAACAATATAACTTCATGTTATTCTTAAACCCTTGAACGTTGTAAGCTTGCAATTTAGATATGAGCACAAAATACTAGCGGTTCAAGGTCTATCTCCAGACCGTGTATCATCTCTACTCGCATTCAGTCTTAACCAAGGCCCCTTTTGCTTTAACTTTGCAGAAGTACAGGTCCTTCTCACTGAACATCCAGATACCACCCTTGACGAAGCAGAAGTTCGCCGTGGTGCATCCAACAATTATCTTGCCAACAAGAGTCCCATCTGGGGCCCAAACATGAACTCCATCTCCACAGCCGGAATACACATATCCATTCTCATCGCATTTGATCCCATCAGGCACCCCCGAATCACAAAACGCAAACATCCTCCGATTGGCAATTCGGGTGCCTCCATCGACCACGTCATAGACATATATCGTCCCAGCGTTTTGATAGTTGGCTTGGAACTTGCGTCCGTTTCCGGAATAGCTTCGAGCCTTGACGGCCCCCGTATCAGTGACGTATAGCAAGGTATAGTCAGGGTTAAAGCAGAGGCCATTGCACATATCAAATCCATCCGCTAGAACGTAGCAGTCCTTTGTAGAAGGTCTAAATCTGTACACCTGCGCTGGTAGGACTGGCTCAGGGCGGAACCCCTGCTCAAAGCCATACGTTGGGTCCGTAAACCAAACGTCTCCTGTGCCATGGTGGATCACGACATCGTTGACAGAGGAGAACTCTCGGCCGTAAAAGTTGTTGAGAAGTATCTCGGACTCCTTGGTAACTGGATTAACTAGCACAAGGGCGGATGGGGTTGACTGGTCACCCTGGGAGCAATAGAGGAGACGATCTGGCTCCTCGCCCCCGGTTCCAGCACCAGGGGAATGGGTAGATGCAGTCTTCCCAGGATAATTGCATGCTCCATTCGCCTGCACGACATCTGGATAGTCGAGCTTCTCGATT